CACCCTGTGCTCCCCAACTCATCTGCCAGCGCTGGATTTTCACTCCCACTTAAATCACGCAGACCCTGAGCCCTGATGCACCATCACTAGCCAAGCTGGCTAACAGCTCCTGCCCTGAAAGTGGCCACTCTGGAATTACTTCATCAGTGAACAACATGTGCCCTGGGAACCATAAGCCACTGGCAGAGCCAAGCAGGTACTTTTGCAGCAATCACCCTCAAGGCACTCTCAAGGTCTTTTTCATCATCGTAACAGCAGGAGTCATTTTTTAAACCTTTCAAATAGTTTTAAATTAACTTCTCTAACAAAGTTTGCCAGAGCAATATAATCTGACTGCATAAAACTATGGAGAGGAGCAGGGACACAATGGAGACAAAGCAGAGACGTTAGAGCAGAAGAGGAACTATAGCTCCATTTAGATGGAGCTGGTTCATTAGTATGTAGATTCAAAGCCGTTCCGGAGCAGTTATGGAAGTGTTTCCCAAGCCCTCCTAGCAAGCAAAAATCCATCCTGTGCACAAATAGGGCTTTTATAGCTTGGCACAGTGCTCAACTCTGGAGTAACATTTTTCAGTGCCTGGTAAATTTTTACTTGAAAATGGCTGGAGAGCTCATGCCAGAAGCCCATATGACATGCCAGCTCGGTGGCAGAAGGTCAAAGCCTGGTATCAAGAGATTTTATGGAAGTGTTTCAAGACAAACTTCTTAAAAGCACTGAGCTATCTAGAGAGGCACAGATTCATACTGCTAGGAAAGCCTAGTAATCATCTTGATGACTCCTTTTCCAATCAAGGGGAATATGCTTAACACTCTATCTTGTGAAAAGCACAGCAGCAGGGTCTCCCGCAGCTGGTGAGAGTTGCTCCTGTGCCTATTTAGCCCTTAGTTATTTTGCCGAAACTAAGAGTAAAAAAGTGTTAAATGCCAGAGTTTTTGTTTAGATTCTTCTTTAAAAAAAAAACAACCAAACAAAAAAAAAAACTAAACCAACACACAAAACCAAACAAAAAACCTCAAAATAGCAAACCCTGAGGTGCAAAAGGTAGGAACAACATATATAGACACAACAGAAGTCAGATCCACCAACAACTGAAGAAAGCACAGTAGAGTTTAAAGACCAACCGCCCAAATTATTCCCTTTCTCCATTAATATCTAAAACTATGGCTGCAGGAGAAAGTTAATTTGAAGTGCAAGAAAGGCTCAATATTCTCAATTTTTACAGAAGTGCTTAAGGTTAAGCTAGAGTCAACAATGACCCTGAACAGGCGTCAAGCACAAAGACTTTCAAGATAGTGGATTTTATCAGCTGTTACCACATCATAAAGAGATAGTAAAGCCCCATCAAAATCTGATCAGTCTGCTCACGGTGGCCCCTTGCAACCACACAAATGCACTATTAGATCTACTTACAAGAGCAAACTTGCAGACACGCACTCTCTCATTAAAGCATTTCAGTTGCCTGGATCTGCCATTTTAACGAATTCAAGCATAAGACTTCAAATTCAATTAGCACAGATCTCCGTGCTCCCAATATGAAATCTGCAATTGACATTTAATGGCATTCAACACAGAGGAAGCTAAGCTAATGCACTAATGGACCAGCAAGAAATATTGCAAGACACTCCAAAATGCAATGCTCTTTTTTAGTCAAGGGAATTAACAGCGTAGGTTGCAGTGGCCAGGAAGAGATGACAGCTATTCAAAATCCTCCTGAAACCAGGGCTGCAAAAGCTCTCCTCTCCAGACACACCACACAGCTTATCTGCAAAGAAGAAAAGCAGTTGCTTTGTACAGTAAGATCTCCTTTCAAACTGCTGAGGCTTGGGAGCAACCTACCTCATGTAAGGCTGTTTCAGCTCTTCAGTCAGGAATTACAACCTGTCCTCCCATTTTTACTCCCTTTTCCTCCTGTCTCTTTTTCTGATGAGGGCTTAGGCAACACAGCCCCGCTCCCCAGGCCCACACCAGCTGATATGGGAGAGCTACATTTTCCAAGCCCTGTCCCAGCTGGCTGATAAGGATGCAACGTTGTGCACTCCAAGAAGGAATTCTGCTGTCCTGCCTCCCCACTGCACACCCATGCCTCACCCAGCTCGGTAAGAAAGCTGCCAGGTCTCCCACAGCACTGCTTCCTGCCTTACAAACCCAAAGCTCTGAGTCCAGGCATTCCTTTAGGCCTTTTTGCCAAGTGGCAACATGGTTTGCCTTCACTCCAGTTAAATAAAGCAAGAGACTTCCAAAGAGTTTGGAAATCTGGGAGACAGAAGGCAGAACACACTGAAAGAGGAAAAATACCTTTAGAGTCACGGTTAAGCAGAGGGAGATTTATTTTGCTTGTTTAAGCAAATTAACACAAGCAAAACCTACCGTTAGTGAAGATACTTTCAAGATAAAGATCTATTAGTGCTTTCTTTGAGTACAGATGTGCAATCGGACACCAAAGCAGCCCTGCACAAGCTGATAAGGAAGCATTAATAGGACACTGTTCTGCTCCACACAATTCTCACTGCTCCCATTTGGATGAGTGAGCTGTAAAGCCCAGCAACAACTACATTTTAAAAGCTGCTTTTCTTTAAAAGGCACCTTAAAGTCTCCTAAATGAGATTTCCTTTTCTCTTGCTCAAGACCCATCAGAACAAAGCTTGGATGGTACTTCAAGGATTCTTCCCCTACCCCCTCAACTATATGAACTTATTTGATAAGACCAGAAAAAATAGGGGCAAACATTTTAAAGATGTCTAAAGATTCACTTACATTCATGAATTATACACAGCACAGGGAAACCAGTTACACTTCATAGCTGCTTATTAGGATAGATGATATTCTTATTAACAAAAATTATTAGGGTGATGATGCTCTTATTAACAAAAATCAAGCCCAAGTAACCTGCACCAAGCACTGCCTCTGCTAAGGTAGATTTTCAAAGGCATAACATATATTTGGGATGAAAACACCACAAAAAAAGCAAGTAGGTTTTGTGCTTTCTTCAGTCTTCTGCATTTCCCCCAGCTTTTTTTTAGGGGGCAGAGGATTTATAATTATTAGCTTGAATGATGTTGCACATTTTGGGAATTCCAGCTGTGTTACAAGCCAGACTTTCCAATCCACAGCACAGGACTAGTGCAGAACATCAGCCTTTGGAGGGCTGCCTGCCACTGTGCTGGCGTCCTGGGTGCAAAAAGTCTCCAGTGACACCAAAATCCTTTGGAAAATTCTGACAGTACATGCAACCTCAGCTCCTGACCCTCAGGTAAAAAACACCCTCACAAAACCCAGTGATTTGAGCTCATTTTGAGTTCAGCTCTACTTCAGAGTGTTGTGGGTTTTTTCACATCCAGTTGTTTCTGATGAGTTGCAATTGAAAAATGGCTGAAATAGCATTCAGGTGCTCCGCTTTATTTCAACTTAGAACAGTTTGGATCTACCTTGCTGGGAAGCCCGAGAAACCCTCCTTGCAGCAACACGTAACTCTAGGAATCACACCATAAGAGAAGGATCTCACGTCACACTCAACAAAACCAGGGTTCACAGCCACATACAAGCCCAGATTTTGGTGGTGCTATACAGATTTATTTTTTTTTTTTTCTTTTTCACTCCAAGCAGGCCTTTCCTGACACTTTGGAGAACAAGGGCTTGGATTATTTTTCTCTGAGCATTTTTTACAGGATGTCCTGTTGTCCCAGATAAAAACCCTTTAATTCATCCTTAATTCATTCCTTACAGCCAGACTGAAATTGCTATTAAATCTAAGTCCCAGGCCACCCATATTTAGCACAGCAATTAACCAACACTGAACAACACAGAGAAGCAGCAATCAGAAAATGCGAAGACATTTTAAGCTGCCATTACCACTAGTGCATGGGTTTTTCCTCCACAAGTTTAGCTCAAGAGAACTCAATAATTATTTAATTAAAAGCAGCACCTGCTCAAGCTTGACAAACATTGAAACAATGACATACATGGGGGACAGGTACACAAAGGTGCCATTAACTAAGCCACTGCTTTTTAAGGATACTGTTAACTCTGAGTAGTAGTTAATTGGCATTCATTAATACCCCTAAGTGCTGAAAAACATCTGCATATTTTGACTGATTAAATTCAGAAGTGTGGCAAGTTTTCACTAAAGGCTAATTAAACACATGGGGAGCCACGTTGCCTCTAGATTGATACGTAAAATGACAAAAGAAACATGGTAAACCATTTGAGAATCACGAACCCAACCAGGTCAAGACCAGAGCTTCCTCTGATTTGAATTGTAAGGCATCATGTCTGTATTTTATACTGGTTCACCAACAGGCATGGAAGCCAACAAGGGAACAGGCATGGAAGCCAACAAGGGAACAGGCATGGAAGCCAACAAGGGAACAGGCATGGAAGCCAACAAGGGAACAGGCATGGAAGCCAACAAGGGAACAGGCATGGAAGCCAACAAGGGAACAGGCATGGAAGCCAACAAGGGAACAGGCATGGAAGCCAACATTTTCATCCATGCAGAGCTGAAGAGGCAGAAGGGAGTCTGAAGGAACTGCTACAGAACCTGTTGTCACACCACGCTGCTCTCATCCTGTTTCCAGCCCTGCTCACAGGGCTGCCTGCATCAGCAAACTTCATCAGCACCATGTCAATATGGCACAGCTCCCATTTTTTTTTACAGTACTCTTTCCTTTTCTCTTGCCATCCTTGCCTTGCATATTTACAGCACCTGAAGGCACCGAGACCTCCTTTAATGACAGAATAAATTAGAAACCTTGATCAAAATAGGGCCTCCAAGCAGGAGCACAGTAAAAAAGACGGCCACACGCATCACACACCCCCCAAAATTCCAAATCATCCAGCCTGTCAATCAGCAAACAATTCCACAAGCAACCAGGGAGCCCACCTGCCTGCCAGGGGGATGGGGAGGCCTCTCCTCACCCCCACGTCCTGGTCACCAAGCCAATCCAAGAGCCAGGCAGGTGGCACAGGATGAGATGGATCCTCTGGATGAGCCTCCGGGTCCATGAAGGGTGGGAAAACAGCCTGGCTTCCCACACAACGTGCCCAGGGAATGGTGGGCAACCCCCTGGGCTGGGGGGGTCCCCAAGCAGGGACCGGGCTGTGGCCACGGGGCCACCAAGAGGGAACCACACTCCCCCAGAGCCTCTGGAACACGGGGGAGCCGGACCCTCCGTGTGAGGCAACCCTGGAAAGGGGGGCAACAGGCCTGACCCTGCAGCTGGGCTGAGGGAAACAGAGCCCCCCCCCCACCCCTCCCTGGGCCCGGGGCCTGCAGCCCCGAGCTGAGGGGCTCCCCGGTTGGGGGGCCCGGGGTTAAGGGGCCCAGGGGAGCCTCCCTGGTCCCCCCCCGGTGCTGAAGGGCCCATGTACCTCCGAGCTGAGGGACCCAGAGCCCCCCAGAGCGACTGACGGCACCGGAGCCTTCACCGGAGTCCTCAGAGCGGGCCAGGACGCTTCTTAACGCATCCCCCGGGGGCTGCGGGGGCCGAGACTCCGAAGCAGCAGCAGCAGCACGGAGCCCCGCTCGGCCCCTCTCCCGGCTCCACGGT